TTTTTTTTCAAAAATTTTCACAAATAGATAGGGTTACTGTAGAATCCGCTTAGAACAAGTTTTATAGACTGTTTTTAATGTAGTTTCGAATGAGCTATAGTATATCCAAATAAGTCATGTATTTGCGGAGAAACACCCCTCTGAGTCTTCCATGTCCCAAAAAATATTAAAAAAAATTTTTTCAAAAATTTTCACAAATAGATAGGGTTAATGTAGAATCCGCTTAGAACAAGTTTTATAGACTGTTTTTAATGTAGTTTCGAATGAGCTATAGTATATCCAAATAAGTCATGTATTCGCGGAGAAACACCCTTCTGAATCTTCCATGTCCCAAAATATATTAAAAAAAATTTTTTCAAAAATTTTCACAAATAGATAGGGTTAATGTAGAATCCGCTTAGAACAAGTTTTATAGACTGTTTTTAATGTAGTAGTTTCGAATGAGCTATAGTATATCCAAATAAGTCATGTATTCGCGGAGAAACACCCCTCTGAGTCTTCCATGTCCCAAAAAATATTAAAAAAAATTTTTTCAAAAATTTTCACAAATAGATAGGGTTAATGTAGAATCCGCTTAGAACAAGTTTTATAGACTGTTTTTAATGTAGTAGTTTCGAATGAGCTATAGTATATCCAAATAAGTCATGTATTCGCGGAGAAACACCCTTCTGAGTCTTCCATGTCACAAAAAATATTAAGAAATTTTTTTTCAAAAATTTTCACAAATAGATAGGGTTACTGTAGAATCCGCTTAGAACAAGTTTTATAGACTGTTTTTAATGTAGTTTCGAATGAGCTATAGTATATCCAAATAAGTCATGTATTTGCGGAGAAACACCCCTCTGAGTCTTCCATGTCCCAAAAAATATTAAAAAAAATTTTTTCAAAAATTTTCACAAATAGATAGGGTTAATGTAGAATCCGCTTAGAACAAGTTTTATAGACTGTTTTTAATGTAGTTTCGAATGAGCTATAGTATATCCAAATAAGTCATGTATTCGCGGAGAAACACCCCTCTGAGTCTTCCATGTCCCAAAAAATATTAAGAAATTTTTTTTCAAAAATTTTCACAAATAGATAGGGTTACTGTAGAATCCGCTTAGAACAAGTTTTATAGACTGTTTTTAATGTAGTTTCGAATGAGCTATAGTATATCCAAATAAGTCATGTATTTGCGGAGAAACACCCCTCTGAGTCTTCCATGTCACAAAAAATATTAAGAAATTTTTTTTCAAAAATTTTCACAAATAGATAGGGTTAATGTAGAATCCGCTTAGAACAAGTTTTATAGACTGTTTTTAATGTAGTAGTTTCGAATGAGCTATAGTATATCCAAATAAGTCATGTATTCGCGGAGAAACACCCCTCTGAGTCTTCCATGTCCCAAAAAATATTAAAAAAAATTTTTTCAAAAATTTTCACAAATAGATAGGGTTAATGTAGAATCCGCTTAGAACAAGTTTTATAGACTGTTTTTAATGTAGTAGTTTCGAATGAGCTATAGTATATCCAAATAAGTCATGTATTCGCGGAGAAACACCCTTCTGAGTCTTCCATGTCACAAAAAATATTAAGAAATTTTTTTTTCAAAAATTTTCACAAATAGATAGGGTTACTGTAGAATCCGCTTAGAACAAGTTTTATAGACTGTTTTTAATGTAGTTTCGAATGAGCTATAGTATATCCAAATAAGTCATGTATTTGCGGAGAAACACCCCTCTGAGTCTTCCATGTCCCAAAAAATATTAAAAAAAATTTTTTCAAAAATTTTCACAAATAGATAGGGTTAATGTAGAATCCGCTTAGAACAAGTTTTATAGACTGTTTTTAATGTAGTTTCGAATGAGCTATAGTATATCCAAATAAGTCATGTATTCGCGGAGAAACACCCTTCTGAATCTTCCATGTCCCAAAATATATTAAAAAAAATTTTTTCAAAAATTTTCACAAATAGATAGGGTTAATGTAGAATCCGCTTAGAACAAGTTTTATAGACTGTTTTTAATGTAGTTTCGAATGAGCTATAGTATATCCAAATAAGTCATGTATTCGCGGAGAAACACCGTTCTGAATCTTCCATGTCCCAAAATATATTAAAAAAAATTTTTTTTTAAATTTTCACAAATAGATAGGGTTAATGTAGAATCCGCTTAGAACAAGTTTTATAGACTGTTTTTAATGTAGTAGTTTCGAATGAGCTATAGTATATCCAAATAAGTCATGTATTCGCGGAGAAACACCCCTCTGAGTCTTCCATGTCCCAAAAAATATTAAAAAAAATTTTTTCAAAAATTTTCACAAATAGATAGGGTTAATGTAGAATCCGCTTAGAACAAGTTTTATAGACTGTTTTTAATGTAGTAGTTTCGAATGAGCTATAGTATATCCAAATAAGTCATGTATTCGCGGAGAAACACCCTTCTGAGTCTTCCATGTCACAAAAAATATTAAGAAATTTTTTTTTCAAAAATTTTCACAAATAGATAGGGTTACTGTAGAATCCGCTTAGAACAAGTTTTATAGACTGTTTTTAATGTAGTTTCGAATGAGCTATAGTATATCCAAATAAGTCATGTATTTGCGGAGAAACACCCCTCTGAGTCTTCCATGTCCCAAAAAATATTAAAAAAAAATTTTTCAAAAATTTTCACAAATAGATAGGGTTAATGTAGAATCCGCTTAGAACAAGTTTTATAGACTGTTTTTAATGTAGTTTCGAATGAGCTATAGTATATCCAAATAAGTCATGTATTCGCGGAGAAACACCCTTCTGAATCTTCCATGTCCCAAAATATATTAAAAAAAATTTTTTCAAAAATTTTCACAAATAGATAGGGTTAATGTAGAATCCGCTTAGAACAAGTTTTATAGACTGTTTTTAATGTAGTTTCGAATGAGCTATAGTATATCCAAATAAGTCATGTATTCGCGGAGAAACACCCTTCTGAATCTTCCATGTCCCAAAATATATTAAAAAAAATTTTTTCAAAAATTTTCTCAAATAGATAGGGTTAATGTAGAATCCGCTTAGAACAAGTTTTATAGACTGTTTTTAATGTAGTTTCGAATGAACTATAGTATATCCAAATAAGTCATGTATTCGCGGAGAAACACCCTTCTGAATCTTCCATGTCCCAAAAAATATTAAAAAAATTTTTTTCAAAAATTTTCTCAAATAGATAGGGTTAATGTAGAATCCGCTTAGAACAAGTTTTCACTTATTAGTGTATTTAATTTACCAAGACGAATTGTACACGATCAATATACCATAAGATATAATACGATAAATTTTGTGGGGTAATTATTTTTTGACTGACTATATTTAAAATGGATTTTCTCGGAGGATTCACCTAGAGCATTTAAAACGCTTAGGCGGGAGTTAAATGATCTAAAAGAATCGTCTCCCAGATTCTGCAGGATTACCAAACATTTGTTCTTGTATTTAACTGATTTATACACAATAGTTTAAAAAGAATAAAATTTCTTCTTTGTCAATATCCCAATATATTTATCAATTAATGAACAGAAATAGCTATCTGTTTTGTTGAATAGAGAGTATTTGGTTAAAGTTGAATATTTAAATACATATGTCCAGATGGACTTCGACTGGTAGAAGAAGAATATTCATTTTTGTTTTAGCGTTGTGAAAAAAAAAAGAAAAAAAATCTGTGAAAAAAGATTATTAAATAAAAAATAAATTGCAACAGCAACAAATGTTAAAAAATAATAAATCGTTAAAAACAACAATTTATACCAAACAAAAAATGGTAAAATTCCGTCATATCACCCGGAAACCGATTCAGACAAATGATATGTCATTCGAAAGATCTCGCCGAGCTGAGTCGAACGACACCGAAATTAGCTTCGGGACTCACATATGGGCCGAGATATAGGTCCCTGAAAATCGAAAAACCAAAGGGGGGAGTAAGCTCAATTTTGGGGTGAAAAATTCGAATATGCAAATTATACCTCATTCGAAAGAGCTTGTCTAGCTGAGTCGAATGAAACCAAAATCAACGAAATTCGACTTGATTTGGCAAAGTTATGATCGTTTCTTTTAGCTCCTTACCTATGGTCTCCGAGTAAGTTTTTGATGCTTCTGAGGCCCCAGGTATGTCCAGAGTAAGGGAGATAGGAATAGGTTTATGTTACGAGCCCAGACCCAGCGCCCGTAGACTCCCCGCGAGGCGCGTGCCGCAAAACCCCGCGCGAAGCGCGGGGTTTTGCACAAGCGCCTCGCCGACGCCCCATAGGTTTATGTTGACCATTTTGAACCTGTTTATCTTGGCTCAGAATAAAGATCTCGAGCTGAATTTGGTGTCATTCGACTCAGCTCGAGGAGCTCTTTCAAATGAGCTATCATTCAAAAAATCGAATTTTTCACCCCAAAATTGAGTTTACTCCCCCCTATGGTTTTTCGATTTTCAGGGACCTATATCTCGGCCCATTGTTGAGTCCCGAAGCTAATTTTGGTGTCGTTCGACTCAGCTCGGCGAGATCTTTCGAATGACATATCATTTGTCTGAATCGGTTTCCGGGTGATATGACGGAATTTTTCCCAAAAAATATTCCTATATTCTAACAAACAAAAATGACTATTCCATAGGTAAACGATTACGATATCCAAAAGTTGAAATAAAGCAAAAATTGAGTTCTTTGACTAAAATTAAACGCCAGAGAAGCATTTCCTTGATATTTTTTGGAATATAAGGCAACTTTAAGAGAAGACGTCTGGACTTGTCACCTGAAAATAATTATAATAATTCACAGAAATCTGACTTTTTGACTCCTGCCAAAATTACACGTCCGACGCACCTTTATGCGAAATCGGGTATCGGAAGAGTAAACATAAACTTTTCGGTTTTTGTGTAGTCCCCCCCCCCCCCATAAACCCCGCACAATTTTCTTCGGAGGCTGTAAAAGTACCTCTGTAACGAGGCAGAAGTTAACCCAGATATTCTAAGAATTGTAAAGTCCCTAAGACTTGTATAGATTAAAAATTAACCTTTTCCTTTAGGCTTCTCTTTAGTCAAACGAATAGCAAAGTTGATGAAGTAACGCTCCTTTGATGCCAATGTTGAGGCACTACAACCAGCTGTGCGGGCTCCTGAAGGAAAAAGGTCGCTCAAATAGGTTTCGATTATTGCAACTGAAACAAAATTTTCTTTATAAAACCCCTCAAAACTTCTCAAAAAAATTTACCAAATCCAAAAGAGAAGAAGACAACATAAACTGCAATGAAGACAATACTGAGATAAGCAGCAAGACATCCTCCTGAAGCATTAATAGGGACTATTGTTGTCACATCATTCCTTCCTCTAAGCAATTGCAAACTCCTCTCAGCTTCCATAAAATTTTCATGAACAATGTAGCAGTATTTGGGTGATTCAGGACAGAAGAACCCCAACAAAGTTAATTGAACACTTAGAGGTATCTAGAATAAAATAAATTTTGAAGTGAAAATTTAAAAAGAAAATTAACGTAGGAAAGTAGAAATATTAAATGCCAATTCTCCTCATCTCCCGACGTAAAAGGCAGGCCAACAACCAACGCGAATTGAAAGACAGTATAGAGGAAGACATTGGACATACATCCTACAGCACCACGCAAATTTATTGGAGCAATTTCGCTTAGATATATTGATGCAAGTCCCGTATTGATTCCTGAAAATCGTAAATAAAATCGTTTCAAATTTATTAAACAAAATAAACCAGAATTGAAGCCAATGAAAAATCTTGAGATTTCAATTTCGTCTAGGAGGAGAATAGGAGCAGTTATTGACCTGAAAATTGAAATGAAAATTTTTTTGATTATCCCCTTCCAGTCATAAAAACTAGCCAAATTATCTCTTCTTTGTAAACAGCATCAGAGCCATGAATTCGTTTATATGAACTTCTCTGCCATTCAATAAGTATTTTTGCTGAATTTAAAAAATTAAAAATATTTTTTTCCTCTAAAAAATACCTAGAGTATTTAGAGCGCCAAGATGAAATCCCACTTGAGAACCCTTAAAATAAATAAACTTTATTCCCATTTTTCCCTATAATCATTCCGGAAATATAAAATGTTATCCGGAAAGTTCTTAGTCTAACATTAAGTGTGTTTTCATTTTGTATTTTTGAAAGGTCCCCGGGAAAGGGTTTCGCATTTTTCTTTCCCTGTGAACTAAAAATTCGCTAAAAAAAGCCCTGAATGGGAATTTTTGGGAAAGTTTTTATTTTTAATAATTTTTGAATGACCGCATTTCCATAACGTCGACCACTCGGACCGGCGCCTCCTCCATGCAAAATCACACCACTACTTCCGGCCCCCAAACTCGTTACTGAAGTATATCCGCCTCCGCTCCTCCGTCCTACACTTCTTGATCTTGGGTAATTCTGAAAAATTTCGAAAAGTCATTTAAGGAAAACTTTTATTTTACGTCGTCAAATTCATCTCGATCACTTTGTGTGTGATCTTGCTCTTCCTCTCCAGGTGGATGATGTGTCTGAAAATTCAAACAAAAAATTAAAAATAGTAAAACAGCTGGGCTATAGCTATTTATCTCCTTTAGCTAGTGCAAAAGGTTAATAGGCGGCTGGGTGCGAACCAGCATCTTCAATAAACCGGACTGATGTGTTATCCATTGCACCACGCTGCCTACTGCAGCCTTAGGAATTAAATAGCTATATGGTTTACAATAAGTACGTGTATTCCAGCCTCTCGAACTTCGACCCTCGAATCTTCAAACACTATAACTCGAAATTTTTTGTGACATCCATCATCATAAAATCTACAATAAAAATAAGTTGCATTGTTTATTCCAAGCAAGGGTCTTTGTTCGTCAAATCGGCCTACTAGACGTAATTCCCTCCATTCTTCATATCTCTGCCTGTTTGGAAAAGTAATGTGGTGGCGGTAACGTACACGAAAACGGACCATTTAAATAGATAAAATAAATTAATTATCTAAAATAGAGGGATAAATTAATTAAATTCTTATATAAACAATTGATCACAAACAATCTTGATAAAGTTTTGATAAAAATTTCAAAGAAATTGAGTAAAATAAATGAGTTTCTAAATGAAATCAAACCTTAAAGGACATAATTCTAAAAAATGGGTAGGCTTAATTATCTCTTGCTTTAACTAAATAGACCTTATAAATAGAATCTCGAGGATCTTTAAATTATACATGGTAGAGTACATCAATCAGAAAAGCTGAAATGGAGGGGAGGGGTAAAAGGGGGGGGGAGGGGTTCTAGCCAAAGAATTACCAGATCTTCAATTAAATAAGCCTTAAATTAGTGATAAAGGAATAAAGAAGATAAATAATTATTGAAGGATGATATAAGAAGTTCAAAGATGATATATTCAAAGAGGATATATTACAAAAAGTCTAATCAAAACCTTTTGTAATTACTGGAGCGCGGATTTATAGGCAAATTCATTTTTTCTGCGAGCTTGGCATAATGTTGCAATGATGATTCACCTAGCAGCATTTAAAACGCTTAGGCGGGGGTAAACTATCTAAAAAGGAAAAAGAGAAAACATTAGTCGATGCCCCAGTAGTTCAGTGGTAGAGCTCCTGTAGGTGGTGAGCGAACCCACCTAGCAAAAAAGATGAGGAGGTCACGGGTCGGATCCTGCCCGGTGGATAAGCTTTTAAATTTTTTCTATGTAATGCTATAATTACATAAAGCCAGTGTTTTTTATGTAAACACGGCATAACACGTTCAAACAACGTGTTTTTTATCCGCCATTGATGGATCCTCTCAAACAATTGTTGAACCTTTTCTTAGGCACAATGGCAGATTTTTTCTTGTTCATTGACGGGCCCTTCTCTCTTGCACATTTCTGTAACCACTTCCTTCCATCCATTACCAGACCCATTTCACCCATTACTGGACCCTTTTCCTTTGAAAATTTGCGGGACTCTTTTCTTTGGCTATTACCGGAACTCTTTGCTCACCCATTACGGAGAACCTTTTATCAAACGGGTACCAAAGTTAAGCCATTGAAGGATAAAAATTTCCTTCTTTTTTGCCCCCTTTTCTTTCCTCTTCCTTCTTTTTTAAAACAAAAAAAAATTAAAATTTAAAACAAAAATTCAAAAAAAAACAAAATAAAATCTAAAAAATTTCTAGGTATGAATAATTAAAAAAATATTTTAAACAAAAAAAAAGATTAAAAAAGGCATTTATAAAAAAAATTATATAAATAAATTTTTAAAATCAACCACACACAAATTATATCCAAAAAGAAAACACAAAACTTAGAAAAAAATTTTTCTTTTTCAAATTTATTCAACTTCACCACGTTTTCTTTCTTCTTCCTTCTTTTTTGATGATCGTTCCTTTCTTTTTCTTTCTCCTCTATAGTCTTTTTCTTCATTTTCTTTTCTATTTTCCTTCTTTCTTCTCTTCTTTTTTCTTCTTTCCGAATCATCTTTCTTCTCTTTTTTTCGTCCTTTTTCCTTCTTTCTTCCCTTTTCTTTTCCATCTTCATGCTTCTTTTCTTTCTTTTTTGTTCCCCTTTCTTTCCTCTTCCTCCTCTTTTCATCACTATTCTTTCTTTCTGCTTCTTCCTTTTCTTTTTTTCTCTTCTTGCTTTTCTTCTTCTTTTTTCTTTTGCTGTCTTCATCCCCATTTTTTGTCTTCTCTTTTACTAGCTCTTCTCTTTCTTCCTTCAATTCTTCTTTTTCTTCCCTTTTGTTTGCCTTCTCTTCCCTTTTCTCTGCCTTCTCTTCCCTTTTATCACTCTTCTCATCCCCTTTCTCTCTCTTCTCATCCCCTTTCTCCCTCTTCTCTTCCCTTTTATCCTTCTTCTCTTCCCTCTCTTCCTTCTTTTCTTCCCTCCTCCTCTCCTTCTCCTTTTTTACTTCCCTAGATTTTTCTTCTTTTCCTACTTTAGCTCTATCCTCCTTCTCCTCATCCCTCTTTTTTCCTTCTTCTTCTTTTTCATCCTTCACTTCTACATTCTCCACTAGTTCCTTCTTTTCTTTTCTCACATCCTTCATTTCTATATCTTCATTTTCCTCCTTTTCTCTTCTTTCTTCAGCCATTTCTGCATCCTCCCTATGTTCTTTCTTATCTTCTTTCTCTTCCTTCATTTCTGCATCTTCCTTTCGTTCCTTCCTTTCTCTTCTCTCCTCTTTCCGTTCATCCTTCCTCGACACTTTCATCTCCTTTTCTTCCTTCTTTTCACCTCTTTCTTCTTTTCTTTCAGTTTTTCTTCCTCCTCTTCTCTCATCCTTTTCACCATTTCTTTCCTCTTTTTCTTCCAAAGCGTGGTGACGAGGATTGAAATAAGGCTTACTGAAATATTTTTTGAATGATTTAATGAATAAAAAATCAAAACCTTCGACGATAGTTACCACCAACTGCTCGAGATCTTCGAGAAAACTGGTCTTGAGGAGATGGGGTTCTTCTCTCTGGAGAAATTGAGTACCGCTTCTTGTATTGACGCTAAAAATTAAATTAGAGTTAAATTTCAATTAATTTATAAAAAATACATTTTGTTGTTGACTGTCCTTCATTCGCAAGAAAGAAAGCCAAACTTGAGTTATTTCACTGTCAGGTACATGAGGACCCATAGGTCGAATAGTTGTTGACTGATATGGAATGTTTGATGCAAGTGGAGGATTCAACGGCCTTACACCACCAATATTTGCCAACAAATTTGAAGAGATAGAAGACCCAATAATGCTTGAATGGTCTTGTCCAATTCCGGGAGGCTTAAAAGAGAAAATAAAAAAAAATCCCCAAAATTCCTTACAACTAATCCAGTAGTACTAACAGGAGTAACTGAACCAGGCGGTCGCAATTCCGTATTTAAACCTTCACTCGTTCTTTGTTGTGACTGAATAACTGCATCAGAAGAAGCGCTTGACATTGGGGGAAGAGAAGGATATCCACCACCACTTTGCCCTGAAGACGCTGCTGCGGCAACAATACTTTTCGCTGCCGAATCCTTGTCTTTGCGTTTCAAGAAATTTTCCCAGACTGAGCTTAACTCCTTTAAAACAAAATGAGAAAAAAATTTTTTTTATTAAAATAAAAACCTGCGCAGAAAGAGGCGACGCACTAACCAAACCTTTTTGTTGAGCTGTATTAATTGAAGTGCTAACATGACTAACGGATCCATTTTCAGCTGTTATATGTGTAGATGAAGAAATAACTACAAATAAAACTAATTTTTAGACTTTTTCACTAATAAAATAATACTTGGAGGAGTAATTGGAACATTTTGAGCTGCAGAAATTGGAATATTGATAGGAGGAGGAGGCCTTTTTGGATCAAAAATTGGAATTTGTGGTAGAAAAAGAGGAGCTCCTTGCAACGATGAAGCAGTTGACGCGGCTGGAATGTTATTGATTGAAGCAGGTTGAGAAGAAAGGGCAGGAGCAGTAACTAAATAAATATGAATAAAACAAAGATTTACTGAAAAAATTATGACCAGTGAGAGTCAGGCCCGTAGCCAGGGAGGGGTAGGGGGGGAAATTCCCCCCCCCCCCGAAATGGGGAAAAGGGAAAAATTTGGGGAAGGGCTGGGGCAAAAAAAGTGAATTTTTTTGGCCTACGGGCTTCAAAATTTTCAAAATTTTCGCCTGCGGCGCTAAAAAAGAAAGAAATCTGGCTTCTTGAGGTGCAAAATTCAAAAAATTTTCGTCTGCGGCGCTGAAAATCAAGTTTTCGGCGCCTGCGGCGCCGAAAAAGTGAATTTTTTTGGCCTACGGCCTTCTAAAATTCCCAAAATTTTAAAATTTTTTTTTGCGCCAAAAATTTGGCGCAAAAAAATTTTTCCCCTCTTGGCCCCCCCCCCCCCCCGAAAAAAAATCCTGGCTACGGGCCTGGTGAGAGTGAAGGTGTGGGCCAAAGGTTCACTTATGTTGTAAGTTCCAAAAAAAACCTCTGACCCACATTTTCAATTCACTGGTCAAAAAAATTTTTAAATGAAAAATATATATCAGAAAAAATCCTTATAAATTGCTCAAAAATGCCCACAAACTAAAATAACGAAAAATAAAAAAACCATAAGAACTGGTATCCTGTGTTGTTACATTGACAGTTGATGAAGTTAGAGGATCAGACGCATTCTTCAAACCAATAAAAATTGGTGGTGGCTTTGAAGGCGGCGGTTGTACAATTGAAGCTGGAATGTTTGTTGCTGCTACTGACGCTGAAAAATAATTTCATTTTTATATAAAAGAAATTCAAAATTCAAGCCTTGCGAAGAATCTGGTTGGGAAGGAGAACGTCCAGTAGTAGTAGCCAATTCTCTTTGTGCTTGAGCTAGAGCCAAGTCCGGCATCAGTTTATGCAAAAGTGACTGCGTATCAGTCAACACACTTGGCTTATTGACTCCTCCCTAAGTTAAAAAAATAAAAACTGATGAGTCAAAATTAAATAATACTGTTTGTTGATCTGTTGTTTCGCCACCAGTTTGGAGCTAATAATAAGGAATTTAATTAGAATAATTAAATTGAATAAAAACCTCGTTCAAATATTTCTGAATCGCTGCACGTAAACTCTTATTTGGAATGAGAGAATCCGCACTGATTTGTTGTGAGCAGTCAGGACCGGGGCATTGTTCCAATGGATTGGCCAGAAGCTGTTGTTGGTAACATTCAGCACAGAAGCTATGCCCACAACAGGCGGCTGGAAAAATGAAAATAATGGCTTAATAGCTTTGATAGGAAATAGAAAAATAGGGGAGCACAACCCCACCCAACCCTCTGAAATGGGAAAAAGGGAAAAAATTGAGGAGGGGATTGAGCAAAAAAGTGAAATTTCTTCGACTATGACCCTCCAAATTTCAAAAAATTCCCGCCTGCGGCACTGAAATTGAATATACGAAATTGAATAAATCCAGCCTCTTAGGTCTAGCTTCTTGAACCCGTTGGCTACGCCCTTGGAGCACGAGAAAACCACGACAAAAGCGCAGTTTTTCGGAAAAAACCACAAAAAACAAAGCACAATTTTCTAGAAAACCAAAAAGAAAACAATGGAAAATACCTAAAACAGCATCTCTCAATAGCCCTTTGCACAGAAAACATTTGTACTGGTCTGGCACCTCCACTTGTTCTTCAGTATAAGGCGAGCCGGTAACATCCTCAGATTGACCAGGAAAGGGTTCCTTCAAATTAAAAATTAATTTTAAAATTTATTCAAAAATAAAACATGTTTTCTTTGTAGACGTGCTTGAAAGTGCATTATCGACTTGACATATTTTCCAGATGGATGCAACATCGCCAAAGGGTCGTCCTTGGTAGTTTCCATCAATTCATCCATCGGAATTCCAGTTGTTCGTTTTGTATTTACCTACAAGTGGTTGAAATTTATGGTTTAATGCATTCCAACACAATTTCTGGCCCTTCATCAATTTTTGATTTTTTTTCACACAAAATTTGAGTGGTCGGAATTGTTTAAAATTAAGTATAATTTTATATTAAATAGAATCCCTTGTTTTATAAAACAAAAAAATATTCAAGTATAAAGTCAAAAAGATTATTTTTTTCCTAAAAATATTTTTTAAAAAGAGGGTTGACTTTATACCTGATTAATTAAATTTAAGCATATTATGAGTGATTCTAGGATAAGAAATAATAACTAGACTTACAATTAATAATGAGCTGACAAGGGACCATCGTTTACTGTGACTAGGGTCGGGGTTTTCGAGTCGGGCCAACGTTCGAGTTATTTTTTCGTGCCTCATTTTTATAGGGCCGGACGACCGACCGAGTCTTTTTCGGGCCAAAATTCGATGCCCGACTCGATCTTTCTGACCCGACCCCCAACTCTAACTGTGATTTTTTTCTCTATTTTACCGGTACCTTTTCGATAAAAGTTATGTTCGTTTGCCTACAAAATAATCTGGACTGAGTTATGTCCATTCAATTCACAGCAAACGATGGTCCCTTATGAGAACATATTAAATTGTTTTAGAATTTCTGTAATTAGCAGAGGACGGTCAGAATATCCGGAGGTGTCTAAAATCAGAAATGACGGAATTCCATCACTGCTAATTACTAACCTTAGAAATTTTACAAAATATTATTTGAGGATTAAAAAACGGTTGCTTAATTTCTATGCTGAATGAGATAAAAAATAAAAACAAAGGGATAAAAAATGAAAATTAAAAACAGGCCTTTCAATTTAAAATTATTTTCTAACAAAAATATTGACATTTCTGAAATGTTAAAAAATATGTTTGAAAGTCCTGATTAAAACTATAACTTGAATAATACGAAATTGGAGAAATATTTAAAAAAATAGGAGGATAACAAAAAAAAATAATAAAACTGGGAAACGAAAATTAACATTCGAAGCGGGTTAAAAAATATAAAATAATAAAACCAAATTTAATCGGAACTTAATCCTTTTATTAATTAGAGATCGGAATTTTTGAAAAGCCTGGGCCTATTATTGGGTTTGATTTATTGACCTAGGCCTGTAGTCCAGGAAAAATCCAGGAAGGTAAAAAATGCCTGGACATGGGCCTGACTATAAAAAAACCCAGGCCTTGGTGCAGACCCAGGCCGATCTCTAGTATCAATCTTTAAAAGTTCAATAAAGGTGAAAAAGGACCGAAATTTGTGAGAAAGGTAAAATGTATGAAAGCGGGGCAATTCCCGGTTTTAATCGAGCACAACGAGATGTGCAGGCTATTTCCTTAAAAATTAGCTGTCAAATATATTTAAAACAGCAAAATTCAAATGTGGTTAGACAAACACGAACACACTAAAATAAGTAATAAACCTAGTTCTTAAAATCGCAGCTGAAAAAGCTTTTCACAACCCGGGAACCCTAATGTTAGAAGAAAAGAATTAAAAGGTGAAAACCTCTCACTTGATAACATCAGATTGTCTAAATACAACAATAAAGTGTATCAACAAACCCTCAGAACTCATCAGAACACAAAATCAATTTTTGGAAGAAAAATGTCCCTCACCATTAAGGTTGTTTCATCATCGTCAAAAAACCACGAAAATTTAATCAAAAAAATTTTTCAAAAATAATTCCCATTTTTGAAATAAAAATAAATTTGTTGCAAATAAATTGCAGAAAAAATTATAAAAAATTTAAAAAATAAAGGAATTAATCAAACGCTGAGAGGAATCAATGGCAAAACACAAGAAAAACCGTTCTAGGCCATTGTTGATTAAAAATTCCCCGATCACTCGATTTCCTCATCATCAATGTGGAAAGGAGGAAGAAGAGAAGTGAAATTACCAATGGACAGCTTTTGTACCAGTGACCAGGTTGAGCACAACGATTGCAAACATAAGTCGGTGGAGGAGGTCCAGACATGATTCCAATTGCTCGTCTTTGGTAGCTAAATTAAAATAAAGTAGAAAATAAAAAATTGTTAAAAATGAAACTTTGCAGCGCTGTATTTCTCTGCAGAAACTTGTTTTACATGGGCAATCCTCTGTTCTTCAGTAAGCTTCGAAAAATCATCCTAAAAGAATTAAAATAATGGGTAAAATTTCGTAATATGTCTCAGAAATTGATTGAGACAAACATTTAACTCATTAGAAAGAGTCCAAAGAGATGAGTCAGCTAAGGTCCGAGATATAAGTTCCCGAAATCTGAAAAACTATAGAGGGGGGATCAAGGTCATTTATGGGCTTACCGTTTGCCTGAATCGGTCTTCGAGACAAATGACGGAATATTTAGAGTTTAATAACTAGAGATAGGCCTGAGTCTGGACCGAGGCCTGGGTTTTTCCTGTACGCAGAGTCCAGGCCTTGAATTTTTGACCTTCCTGGGGTTTTCCTGGGCCTGGATTTTTCCTTAACTACAGGCCAAGCATCTGGCTGAACTCAATAAATCAAACCCGGAACCCCGAAACAAGCCCAGATTTTTAAAAATCTCGATCTCTATTGATGACTTCCCAAAAATTAATTTTAAAACAAACCGGACTAATGTAGGTCGAAGTTTGAAAAACGCCTGCAGAACGTTGAACAATCCCGCTATTTGCTGTATCCCTCAAATAAAAAATTTTTTCACTTAAAAACTCGTTAAAAAGGCTTACTGGACTTTGGGTAATTTCAAAGCATTATCTCTCGGCAATCTTTGAACTACCACAGAAGAATTTCTTGGGACCAATTCCCCCGTCGTATATTCTCTTTTAGTGTGGGCATTTGTGATTAACAAATCAAAAGATTCTGTTCGAATGTTTTCTTTATCGCATATTGCTTTTTTTAATTCATCCACGCCTATATGCAAGCCATCAAAAGTTAAGGTTTTGTATTCGAGTGTTGCTTTGAATTTGTAGTGAACTGAAGACATTTTTTTAAATTAAATCTAAAATTAAATTTTTAATCAGAAACAAAAATTAGAGGTCGGCAAAATAGCATTCCCGGGATCCCGGAACGGGATTTTTTTTTTTCAAAATTTTGTACGGGACGGGACCCGCGGGATTAATCCCGTAATCCCGTTTTCAAATTTACCGGGATCCCGCCGGGATTCTGGGACGGGATCCCGTAAAATCCCGTACGGGGTCCCGTCCCGTGCCGAGCTCTAACAAAAAACACAAGAATCCCGAAAGATAATGGACTTCGATTTAACCATTTTCTTTTTTTCTCTGCACTCTCCAATTTCTCTGCAGTCTCTCATCTACAGAGTGTGGGGGACGTTTGAGTATCGCCGATTCCGTATTTGAGGCATATTTTGGACCATAACTTTTTTGATTCTTAACCGATTTAAATAATTTTTAGATCAATCGAAAGCTCTAAAAGTGGGGGTTTTTTTACTTAGCAGGATTGATTTGATCAGATGATCCTATAAAAAGTTACAGCCCAATAGGTGAGGTCAATCGTGATTTTCGATATTTATTTGGCTTTAACTTTTTGGAGAAAATCCAAATCAGATCATTCCATTACTAAAAAGATGCCGCATCTCGAGACCTTTCGAATGATATGAGTATTACTCGAATCGGTGGAAAAACAAGAAAGTTATGGGTTAAAATATATCCTAAATATTGAATCGGCGATACTGAATCGTCCTTATCTCCTATTTAGGAAATAGACATTTTGCCAAAAGGACTTTTTGCCAAAGGTATTTTTGTCTAACATTTAGCTCTAACATTTAGCGAGTTTATCAAGATTCAAAAATTTTGCTGATAAAAACAGATAAAAAAACATTAATTAAAAAATTAAGTCAAGGATAGAGCTTTAAAAATTTATTATACATAAAATCAAAAAAATGTTTAAAATTTAGGCTGTCTTCCATTAAATATTTTAATAAAGGCTGGATAAGGAAGCAATTAATAAGCAAATGGAAAAAGTTTGAGAATTAATTTTAGGTCAATACAAATTGAAAAATAGGAAAACTTATTGAAAACTTAGCGAGAAAAATTTAGTTAATTTTAGTCAAAATTAATATTGAATACCGCATTTATTCTAATAGAACCAGTCTTCATTATAACCACCCCATATGGAGAGGTTGAAAAATTGAACCATCGGGGCCCGTATCAGAGCAAGTTGTTAAAAGGATATCATAAGAAGTTGATCATTAACCAGGTCATTTAACCCCTACCTAGAGGTATTTTCGTATCATAAGAGCGTCTGGTATTTTCCTTCTTGCTTACCACGAACCACGTTCTTATGATACGGGTCCGGAGGTTCTATTAGAATAAATACGGTATTTTAAAATTACAAAAAAATTTAATTTAAATCAGGCTTGGTAATGGATATGGATACGGATAGGTTCGAAATGTCTGTGGATATGCGTCTTATCCGCCGTAAATATCCGGATAAGGGATACCAAACTCCATGTCTATTACCTAGTCTGATTTAAAATATTCAATATTTCCTTAAAAAAATAGAAAAAAATTTAATTAATTAATTTAATTATTTTTTTAAATTTCTTTAATAGTCCTTATGTTCAATTACATCAATTATGTACATTCTAAAAATTAAATATTGAAAAATTATTTTTTAAAAATTAATTACCGATTTCCAGATACAAGAGAATTCATTGAAAGTTCTTGACCATTCAAATAAACCTAAAAAATAAAACCCTATTTTTTTGATAGAATTATAACCTCTATTTTATATAAAGACCGGAGATCGCACCGACAAAATTCCCGATTTCCAAAATCGGAAATTTTATTTTTATGTCGGTGCGATCCCTAATACACACCCAATACATTCAAGCTGGCAACTGTGTTGCCTAAACGATGTCCTCTGGATAGACCCAATTTGGAGGGAATTCATTTCATAATAACTGGGGAGTTGACTCAATAGCGGATACATCGAATCATAGGTACAATTTTATCAACCCCA